TCAAAGGCCGAGCAGGGATGTATAGGCGAAGTAGTCATACCGTTACAAATATATACTGGGAAAGCTGGCTTGTGAGGTGCAGAATCAAACTGTCTACTGTGGTGACAGTTCTAAGATTCAAAACATCGTTGAACCAAGCAGTTATATATATACTGCTAAAATGATCACTGCGTTTTGCATCCGATTGCCCAGGGAAGCAGGTTGAGTTCATAATAGCGGACACTTGTGTTTGTTCGAAGGGAGGTCAGACGTTAAGATCTGTTTCCTCTCTTTAGCTCATCCAACACGTACAGCAGAAGCACTCTCAACGTCCACCGACCATCACATATGTCGTGCTTCTAGGTTTTCCGATAGCAGCTACTTGTTAAACATAGTAGCGCTTTATGATTTAATAAACACTGATGTGGCTGAACTGTAAAACTCGGGAAACCTATAGCACAGACTAAAGTATCGGGTGTTCCGGCACCTGGGCTTGAGGCCTCCCCAATTGACGAATGTCAACAAAACAGAAATCGTCGTTCCAGTGCTCCTAACACGTGTAAAGGACATTTCCGACGACGTATCGTCGCTAAGCGGGAGTCTGGACGACTCCCTAGACTGGGAGCTTCAAGTCTAGACACAATTTCCCATTTCCGTCCTGTAAGTAGAATAGATTTGTGAGCATCACTCTCATGCGACTTAAAATATTCTCGATGTCAGTTGACGGAAGGGGATCCCGGTAGCACAAGCGGATAGGGCGCTGCACCTAAGCGCCCAAAGACTAACTGCACCCGGTTTAAAGTTCGAGTGCGCCTATAATACTAGAGTTTTAGTATCACCAGCTGATGACGGAGTCAGGAAGACCGGAGCAGGTAGCTGAAACAGCGAAGGCCCCCACCTAGGCGCACCACCACACCCCTGGCTCACAACGCACATTGACGAAGATTTTGCAGAGAAAAATGAGGCGATTTGGGTACCGAATGGCGCGGTGTGAACCTGCATCTGGGCGTCACATGTTGGCACATGCTATGGGTGCGCATTCCAAATAACGCCTGCACGACCCCAGACTGGCCCCTGTGCTGGTCAAGCACATCTACCATGATTATACGACGCAATCCACACCCTTCGTTAAATTTTATGAGAATTAAAAGCCTTCTTAATTGCATCAAAGGATTAATTATTTTGTTTAAAAAGAAGGGTTAGAACGTGCAATTCAAAGGCCTCCAACTCGGGCGCAACGATAGACAACACTAAAGACTATTTGAAAATTGGTAAACATTCTCACGACTGAAAAATACACTTCTATCAGGAAAACTTGAAGATATAAGCAATTAGTTAACAAGGATTACAAGAAACGATATTTTTCCGCATCCCTGCTAGAAAATATGTTTAGGCTGTAATGCTGGGCTGTGCGCGTGGACGAGTTAAAACCGCAGGTGGTTCACTACCGTTGTCCGAGGAACACTTGTCGAGTGAAGTACAGACTGTCTCGAATGGGGTAGACAGTACTCGGTGCGGGAACACCGTGAGGAAAGCTCAGGCCATTCAAGAAAGGTGACCCAAGTTTGGACACATTCGTCGTCATCAGCTCCACAAGTTTAGCGTTACTACCCTTGATGGGGCGCCGCTGTAAACTACGAGGCGTCAAGGAGATCAATTCAAGACCTGATTAAACGCGGTTAAGACATGGAGGTGGTCTTTGGATATCCAGTCTGTCGACGATGGGAGGATGGGTCGGTCTCTTCAGATCGGCTGTCGCAAACCGTCCCGCATGGAGGGGTAGAATTCGCAACATCATCTACGCCGGCTAGATCAGGCATGCTCAGAACCGTACAGCGTATAAATAAAAGTTCTTGTGTGGCTCTAGGTATAGGTGCCCGACCAAAATCTCCGCAAACTATTAGAAAACGACTTAGGGTTCGGTGTCCCATTTTTATGATCAATCCCGAAGTCGTACAGGACAAATATGTCAAAGACAATCAACTGCGAAGTCACCGCTGCATCTTTCAACATACCTCTAACCTAGGTACCGGCGAAAGGCCAAGACAAGTTCTCCGATGCCTTCCCGTCACACGCTGCACCGTGAGGGTTTCGTTTACTCAGCAAATCACCTAACTTTCTCCACGCACTTTGTGCTAAACAAGATTCAAATACAAGGCTGAGTCAAAAATTTCGGGACTTCTTGTGGGCGATCTAGAGTTCAGTGTTCGGAACGACCTCCTAGCGTCAGCCCGAAATCTTGACGAGCAGGAGTCCGACACAATCACAACCCGTTCATTCAGCAAACAGTTATTACTACTGGTACAATAACTTCGTATGACAGTGATGTCACTATACAGTAGGTAGGTAACAGCCACCGAATGAGCTGCAACCTGAAGGCTAAAGTTACTCCTTATTTCTGCTGCATGTTCGGCCATCCGCCCGCGGTTTAATATCCCAGGTTCTTCGAAGTAGTTACTTTGGTCGCAACTTCAACAAACCCGGCAAACGATCCCGGATATTTCAAGCCGTGACTGTGGATATTTTAGCCTTATTAATAGTTGCCTCTGGTATGTGTGCAACTGTAAGTCTAAATGGTGTGATGGCGTCTGGTGACTCCGGAATCCTTTACACGCGGACGCGCTTGCCAAAATTTGAGCAATGATTCCTCCTGTCATATTTGGCGCCGAAACTTTGTCCGGGCAGAGTAATTCGCCACGCGGGGAAGGCGCGGGAGATCGCCGTTCCCAGTGACAGTACCAGTGGGGCAAACTGCCGAGTGATTACCACGCCGCCAACAAACATTTGTGACGAAGTTACGACAATTAACGGTCCGAGTGCGGACGAGCCTGTAATTATCGCACTAACTGTGACCACCAGCACTGAATGCGGAAGCTACTGGTTGAAGTAGGGATGTGATCGCATGACAAATGCGACCTTGGGATACTATGCTCCATTTGCGTCTATCGAGGACTGTCTCTGATGATGAATTCGAGTAAGAATCAGTCGGATAAACATTTCGTTCAAGGAACGCAACTCGTTCTTCTACACTGATTGTACATGAGCCAACTGTCGGAGACTAGGCTTTTATGTCCCTCATGTTCTCTACGTAGTTCCTGCCATAAGAACACCAGATACGTATGATAGACTAATGATTTTGGAGGTAATTGGGAGGACAGTTAGATGTCAATTGCTGATACATGGCTGGGATCAGCATTAAAATTACAGCATGTATGCCGATCAAAGAAAATCGACTATGGCAGAACCATCAAGTTATACCCATTCAGCAAGCTAGTAGTACTAGTAAACGGATCTTGTACGACAGTGGCTTTATTTTATTCTCGAGACATAGATGAGAGCAAATGTTTGGGTGTAAGGTGCAGAATGCGAGGTCTTCGCAGTTAACGCCCGTCTCGGACAAGATCGCTCATGCCTATACCTCTCAAAAACGTCTTCAGCCCTTTTCACAGGTTAATACGACTACGAGTCCAGGTACAGCCGGGTTAAGCATCCTCCTGTGGACGACCACGTCCTGCTGGAAACTCCGTCGAGGGACCGCAGTCCACCCCTAATTCTTGGTAGCCACCTCCCACAATATGCTGAAAACTCCGAAATGTCGTTCGATGGCTTAACACCACAATGGCGAACGACTCGAGGTCTACGACTGTTTTAGCTGCGCGACAATATCAGAAAATAAGAAGAGGATCAAGAGTGAAAGTGCAGTTAAGTCTGTCCTGTTAGATGGCTGCGAAACTTCGCCTCATTCAGCTAGCTTGTGAAGGATCAAACTTTGAAAATCGCAACATCCGAGGATATTGTTAATTCGACCAGTAGATCACGTTTCGAATGAACATCGGCGGCACACCTATTGGCAAGGCAATGAAAAATAACCATTATTGATGATTTGGTCCCGTTCATATGTGTTATTAGGCCTCAAAGCCCAATTGGAATTGTCTCAAACGTCAATGCAGCTAAGCAGATAAGCAGATGGAGTCGTGACAGATCTGAAAGACGAGCCAAAAATCGGCCATGAGAGGTTTACCCGTTGGCTTACGCGAATGCGCTCCAATAGCCGATAATGCTGTTAACAGTAGGATGGCGGGTCTTAGCCGGCAGAGTACGAACACTGAAATCCATAAAAAAAAACACCACTGGCATTCTATATATGGCCCATAATCGTCTAACTTATACAAAGCACCAAAATTCTCGGTAGATTACGCCAGACTTTAGTCAACAAATTCTTCGTCCGGACTATGCCCCGGCGAAAGTTTTCTAAGTTAACAAGTAATCGAATAAGTCAACTGCGCCATCTGCAGGCGCCCATTCAAATGGCTAGGGTGCGTGCCCTATCGTCTGTCGTTAAGACTGCATAAGACACCATCGGGCATAAATCTACGAACGATGACACGAAGTCCAGACTGCAGGCATCACCAAGATCAAAAAACCTGTCCGCGCGGATATTTTTTTCGGAATATTGGGGTTCTATTGACGGTACGTACTGGCGTGTAACAAGCTCGGTGAGGCAAGATAAGCTAGGCACATTGACCAGTAAATAGCCATTCTGCAATCTTTGAAGGTAATACTGCTTGTATGGTGTCCATAATGGCTAATACCAGCATCATCCCGTCCCAAGGGAACGAGGTGTTTAAGTTGAAGAAAAATGTGATTTTGCAAAAGTTAAGTAAGTTAGTGTCTGCAAGCTTCGATGGCTGTTAACAAGGCCCAGAAACAGGATGCCGTGAGTGTCCCAGCGTGCAAATGGCACCCGCGCCAAACGGTATCCGCTTGAGAAACGCAATCTAGCTTCGGATATTAACTGAATTAAAGATGATTCGAGGTAAACGTCACACGCATTTAAGAAGACCAGGCCGAAATATTAACAAGAAGTTCGCACAAGATGTAATGCTTACGTAACTTGTGCGTGGGCGAAAATGAACTCCATCGAAATCTCCCACAATATGTATCTAGTAAAGAAAGATAGTCTTTCTGGTGGGGGGAGTTTATTTTGTGTATGAAAATGTGACAGAAAGACTTTGCTGATCTCAGGACCCAGGATTTCTCTCGCAGTAGAATTTTTCGACCTAAACCGTTACACAATAACTGCAAAAACCTACCAGCTTCTTTACATATTCTCCTTCTAACTTTGCCTTGCTCGATTCGTGTTTTGTGCTCACGCTACTGACAGTGTAGGGTGGTTTAATGATGGTTTGTTCGAAAACTTGGATGTTCGGCTTCTCCCACTTAGGCGGAGTTGGTAGACTACACAAGCATAGAAAATTAAGAGGACAACGAACGTCTTGTAAAAGTGCTCAAATAGTTCCCTGGCATCTTTAGAAACGCCAGGTTCATATAGTTTTAAACGCTCTCGCTCGATTTTTTCATTTCTTAATGTGCGTGCGGTAATCTAGAGTATACACTCGGCATGAAAAAGGTCACCTTATCCAAATCCAGGTCCGGATAATTTGTGATCGGATTTGCATTAGAAGACTTCAAATCCTTAATGTAGTCTAGCCGATACATAAAAATATCGTATGTGTTTTGCCGTCCACTTTTAGATGGTTTCCCTAAATAGTTGCCTGGCACCTTGAAAAACACATACGCAGTAAAACTACTCGCCGAGTTTCATCTAGGCAAATAAACTCTCCGTCGACATTTTCATTCAGATCGTAAACAAACGAGATCTCCGCACCCGGCCGCACACCCTTCCACATTTCTGCAAACCAACGCGTTACTGTGGCACCTGCACGCCAAATGACCCAATTAAAAACGTCGCTCAAGCGGTTCAAACTTGCACCGGATGAAAGAAGCCGCTGAAATCATTCGACAGCATAAATAATTTGCGATCAGTCCTAAAATAGGACTAAAGAGGTCAAACTTAACACTTGACGTTAAGGATCATCAACCAGAAACAATCAACCAGCATTAAAAAGCCTCAGCTTATACAGAATCGAACACACGAAACAGGATCCGCTGTCAAAGAGAGGGGCACTGCAGTGGCCATTTCTGACTGCGTTAGACACTAAAAAGATAATTTAAAATGTTTCACTTTAGGGCAACAATCAAAACCAGTAGTTTGAACATCGACAGATGAAATATTCAACTGTTACTGTGGCCGGTGGCCTTAAAATGGAAACTCGTAAGGTGAGTGTTACAGAATCAGATAATGCGCTAAACTTTTTAATTCCCACAGGGTTTAGTAGAACTTATTTGTAAATTTTGATATGCACGCCAGCATAACTTATTTGCTTAACCAAATTCAGGGAAGATGTCACATTAAGTGAAGTCGGCCATCGCACATGTGGACATTTCGTGGATACCTTGAAGACTGCGTGAATAACTATGTTAGATTGTGGCAATTAGACCAAACAGAAAAAAACAATCTGCTTAATTTGGCATCAGTTTCTTTTTGTTCTCTTTTCGTACGTTTCAGTGCAAGGCAAGACTTTTCCTTGCAAACTCGAGTTTGCTGTTTCCTACATCCCCAGTGATTGTTCACGGCCTGAATTTCCGTGTTCTCAAACTTAAATCAATTGTATTCTGAACATCAGCTCAGTTCAGTTCAATCTTTTGAGGAAAATAGGCGTAAACCTTTGAGTATCATATTTGCAACCTAAAAAATGTGTGATATACAGATAAATGTTCTGGGCTGAAATAGTTCAAGCAAGCCCATAATGGTAGGACAAAATGGGAACGAGTTACGGGGGTGAGCTCTAAGTCTCATCGCTGTTGGTCATTTCGGCACATAAATATGTAAAGGTTCTTTTTAAAACTTTGTATCGATGGTTACACCACAACATCTGCAGGGAGGGCATTTCATGGTTTGAACACTAGGACAGAGATGGAGAACTTCCACACATCCAGCCTTAGTAAAAATAATAACAATATTTTTATTCCAGACCCGTGGGGGTCCTTTCAGAGCAAGTAACAATAAACGTTAACATGAATTTTAGAACAGACAGGCAGAATCTATAAAATACGTAATTCATAGATTTGAATAACAAGTATGTTACAGAGAATGATGAGCAAGCAGTGGAAAAACTCCTAACAAATAAACAAAATTAATATGACCGGATTAAAATTACAGGAGAAAAAGCTGTCGTTCGTGAAAGGATAAAAAGCGGGCAGAACCGGCCTCCCTGTGGCAGTGTATAACGGACTTCAAGAATGGGTAAGTATGCGGTTCAGGCAAGGCTGGACTGCATGTGGCATTAAGTAAAAGGTTCCAGACGGGCATCATTAAGACAGAATTCCTGTGCCGTATAAGGTCATTCACTTCAAAAAGGCGAGAACCCAGAAAGCCAAACGCGATCGATCACAGTCAACTTCGAGTCCAGCCGAGGAGGGGGCAAGGGAGATGCAATCAAACTACTAGTAGATGGCGAATACAGATAGTTCCGCCAAGAGCGTCGATGGAGCGCTTCGGCTCGAACTGAGCAAATTACCCCAAGAACCGCTAAATTCAACGCTGGGGTTGGGAGGGGTGGTAAGGTTGGAAATCTCGGTGGCCAGGGTGGAATTCTCAGCCAGTCAGTCAGTCAGTCAGTCAGTGTATTTGAGGGAAATAGGCTTATGCCTTTGAACTCCCTATCTGTACATAAAATTCTGATGTGTGTGGGTGATGGGCCAGTCTCAGGCGGCCTTTTCTGCCGAGTGCGCACTTCAAACAATCGACCTCGGAGGTTGATCGTGGTAGCGGATTCTAAAAGTCCTCAACGGCCAGGCTGCAGCCCAACCCTTCCACATTGTGGAATGCTTGCAAGAGATCCCCGTGAAGTTGTTTATGAATAAAGAGGAAGAAGTTCACATATTTTAAGCGCGTAGCGCTAGAGCAACTGCGTGAATATACAGACGTATATGTCAAGTAAAACTTACACCCTCTAAATATACATCTATTCTGAAATATTTCAGTGACAGTGAAGATCTATCACTAATTCAATATAATTCTGCATGCATATGGGGAAGAGATGGAGGGCATATTCTATTTATACGTATTCGCTGTCTGTAAAACCAAATGGGTACATTAAATCAGTTCTTTTCTGGTATTTGAAAAAAAGTTATAAAATAAAGGATTATCAAGTCTTCTTTTAGGTGTCTGGACCATTTTCACAAGAACGGACTCCGTTATGCAGTGGATTTTTCTGAAAATGTTGAATCCTTTACGTGTACACTAGACGCTCATTTGCTGAGAAACTACTGCACATATAATCAAAACTGTTTTAGCGGCGGCAGTTTGCGCCTGACTCACACTTACCCCTGACTTTTCAAAAACTGTTAAACCATCTTCCTAACTCTCAATCAGTAGGCACGGACAATATCCCAAACTCTTATAAAACAGCAAAGAGAATTTCCGTCTCTGCTTAGCCAACGCCGTTCAGTATTCCTCATAAATAGCCTCTTTCCTGACTATTGAAAACTTCTATTATTATTCCAGTATTTAATTCTGGCTGTCGTTCTGACGTTCAGAACTAGCGTGGTGTCCATAGGGCACCCTCTCTCGTCAAAATCTTTGGATAAATTATCGCCATCAAAATTACCGACTTTTGCATAGCCAATCAAGTTATTGGCCCTTCCCAGCGTGGTATTTTACCAGATCGCTCTTGTGAAACATGTCATTGGTCGTTTTTCAATCTACTTACTTCTCTTCGTGATGATCATTTATCTGTTGTCGTTATTTATTTTGCCCTTAGTCAGGCCTTTGGTAAAGTGCCATATAAAAGACTCTCGGTTAAATTAGAAGCCCTGGAATTCGCATACCCCTAATAGGCTTTATTAAGTCATACCTGTCTAATCGTAAACAAAAGGTTTTATTGGGAACTCCACTTTCCAGTGAAAGCCCTGTTGTAAGTGATGCCCTACAAGGCACAGTTTTAGGTCCTCTTTTGTTCCTGCTTTACATAAATGATATCTCGGCGGCAGTTAATCATTCTCAATCACTTAGTTATGCTGATGATCTCAAATGTGTTTATTCTTTCAATAAATCTACGAACTTTCATTGCCTGGAGCTAATCAATGCTGGCTTGCCTGCTCTCTCAGCTTGGAGCTCAAAATGGCTAGTGGAATTCCCTCCGTCTAAATGTCGCTGTATGTGTTTTGGACCTGATAGGTTACCCCATCCAGTGGTCTTTCAAGACACCTATGACTGAATGTACCACCAGCAAAGGTTTAGTTTTAAGCTACACCAATCATCTTGATCACGCTAACGGAATTGCGGCCAAAGCTGCCCAGATTTGTAGCTTTACTGCTTACATTTTCTATCTTCCTGAAATTAAACTAAGGCTCTTTCTTATGTTTGTACTTCCCATTCTCGAGTATTGTTGCCCATTCTTTGGTTTGACGAAGGAGGTTAATAGTTCAAAAATCGAAAATGTTCAAAGACATTTTACCAGAAGACATTCAGGTACGGAATATCCAAATTTTTTCTTCTCAGATAGATGCCGGCTACCTAACGTAAAAGT